ATATATTTATTACTATTGGAAAAATAAGCAAATAAGTAAATTAATATCAGGAAAACATGGTTGACTAGCCATTTATTGGATCAAGGTGCCTCCTTCACACCTGTTTTTCAACCTAAAAAAAACCCGACGGTAGCAGGACACAACATTCCTTAACGAGAGGTCGCACTGCAGTTTTAGGAGGGAGAGGGGATGAGGTCCCAGGATGCGGTCCGTTTGTCCGCAGTTGTCCACTTATTCCCTTCTCCACCGCGTCCCAAGTTGGAGAAGTTGGCAATTTTACTATATCTGATAGTCGGACCACTTTCTTCAACCCCTCCCTTCTTCCCAGTTGTTGGATATTGAGGGGTCGCACTCCGAAAAAAATTTCAACGGGTCCGCGTGCTGATTGAAGACATGCCGTGCCCTATCTGAAAGAGCCGTCGTTCTCATGTGCAAGGTAAATGGGTCCGTAGCTGGACTAGGGTACCAGCTGGAGATACTCAGTGGCGTCTCCATAATCCGCCCGCGCTATACTCAAGTGCGTCGCTTGCGTCTATGCCAAGGTCCCGCAGCGATACACGTGCTCAGAATAAAGAACAACCAGAAGTTAGAGCGCAGGCAAGTGGCCACTTGGCTATGGCTATGGCCTGTTGGCAATGCAGCAGCGCGGGCGGAGTATGGAGACGGCAGGCGGTAACGCCACTCTCCAGCCCTGTTCACGTGCACTTTTGGCCAGAGAAAGTGGCACGCTAGTGCAGCTGCAGACTCGTTCACCTCACACATGGCAATGGATCAGGATCCGAGAGTACAGTTTTTCTTTAATCCGATGGGAGGGGTGCGTTTGCTAGTGACATCGTCTTTTCAGATGCTCAGTCCAGCAATCTTGGCCTCCGCCCATTTCTACCACTTTATCCGTTCGGAGTCGGTTATTCGGAATCAGAATCCTCTGGTAGTATGAAACCACCGACCGTAGCAGCGTACTGGTGCTGCTCCTGAGAACTTGTCTTATATCCTTTCAGACAAGTTAAGTTGTTGACCGCCCCGCTTTCGAATTGAACCAGAATGCGTGGCGTAAACCTCTATCGATCAAGGTAAAAATGCTTTTTTTTGCAAGATGCCTCCAAGTGATTCAAGCTTTCTCCCATTCCGTTTGAAAATAGGTGGTCAAAGTAACAAAAACCATTAAGTTAATAAGAAAAAATTGAAAAATCAGGAAACGCTGAAGAGGATCTCCTTAAAAAATAAGGAGATAGCTCAGCCTATTCGCATGCGCCTGACTTCGGGCGGAAGCCAAACAAATCATTATCCACCGGCTTACTACCAACCATTCACTAGTCCAGGTGTGGCAGACAGCTAGGCAGTTCTGGACAGGATTGGAGCAATGATCGACATTAGCAACTACTGTGCTGTGAGGAATCGCTTCCAAACCATAGATGCTATGTATCTGGGTAGTGATCTAGCCGTTCCCTCATTCAGCGTAAGACTTCGACCTTAGGGTTCCAATCAGTTAGCCTACTATTCAAATTTAATATCAGAAATGACTTGTCGAGGTAAACATTGCAAGCTCAATTGGCTTGTTTGGAATCTCAGCTAATTACTGTAAATCTACAATAACAATCTTACTCAGCGTATGCCTCGTTGAGATTTGACAAGAATCTTACAGAATTCTGCCTTTGAAAGTCGTTCCTTCCTGTCCAGGCGAAATGTGGAGAAATGCGCATAGCTTGATTGTTTACAGCTTTGAACTGCTTATCACCAGAAGAAGGCGTAGGAACAAATAAGAGCAGCCACTGCCATCTAATTAGTTTTGAGGCACACCGCGTGTTTGAAAATGATGACTTGTGCGGCTCAAATATTGCGTTGACCCCCATAAGTAATGGCGATTTTCTTCTTGCACAAAATTTCATATAAAAAGTGACCGTTGTTCCCAATGTGACGCTATTCGAAAGATAATTTTCGCTCTATGAGATAGTGTGACCGCCTTCCTACTATTTCTTGATTTCTGCCGATGTTAATTCCATTGAAATGGAGCATCGGGTCGACACAAAAGTGATTTTTTGACAATTTTGCACTTTATCTCGGCTATCAAGTTACAGAAGAAGCTCAAAACTTGTGACATATATGACCAAGGAAAGATGCTTACGAGAGATTGAAGTCGGTTCAAGCGATCAGAATATGGAAACTAGGAGCTTGTAAACGTGCATCACATGTGGGCCCTCTCGGGGGAGCGATTGCCTGCAGAACCTACCCACTACTTTTCGAAGGTCTAACATCAGCTGAGGGTGATGCTTGATTATGATAAGGAAGCATTCCATGACCTCTAACGATTCCCCATCCTTGGTGCGAATTTCTATGAATAAGGTGATTCAATAAGCTCTGCTTTAGGACTCAATGGAAGATTTGTTCGATGTTTGTTTCTGAGGTCGAAAATCTTCAAATAACATAAACCCTTGTAAATATTCCTAAAGGGCATAGCCTCTTCAATATATATATATATATGCTTTTAACTATGTAAAAGGTAAGGCTGTGTGTAAACGCCAGATTTCGTCGGCGGCCTGACGAAGAGAACGACTCAAGTTTCCAAGCTTAAATATTGGGGTCAAAACAGAAATATAAAAAAAAATACTACGAGACGTTCGTATAGGGCGAGGAATTCGTCTGATACAGATATAGAACTCAACGACGAAGTTTCACTTTTGACGCGATTTCTTATGAAGGAAGAAAAGGCCCGCGCCGTTACATGATGAGCCAACTCAGCTTACTAAATGTAAAGATGGTAAGTAATGCGAGTGGAGAAAAAAGCGAAAAAACGCGCCCAAAATACCCTGCAGAGAACGCCGTGCTGAACCGCGCTTGCACTTGCAAAGGGCAAAGAAATAGCGTGCGTGGTCAGACGACTTCTCACTTATTTGTATCAGCTATTTCCCCATTTATCACTCATTTTCACCATTCGAAATGGAGAGTCGGTTACAGAACAACTGCACCACAGATTAAAATGAACGTTAGGCGTTACCGTAGCCAGCGGGTGGAGCCATGGCTACGTCGCGAGCGCGGTCGCGCTTTCTTCCACGTAATTTTGAGCTACGGAATACATCCTCCATGATTACGGCAATGGCCACCGTGTCCAAAGTTGGAGTGGGCGCTTTACATGATACCTTCAAGCTTACTGGCTTTCTAAAAGAGAAACGGACAGACAAGGCGTAATTGTCAAAAAGGTCGTGAGCGGCGTGCACACTCTTCTGGTATGCGCGGCTATTTCACCGACTGAAGCAGCGGAACCCTTCTGAATCAAAGATCAGAGGAAAATTACTGACAGGCGATATTGGGTTTTTCTGTCTCACCCTTAATTTCAAAAAGCCATGCAGGACAACTCGTCTGTCAGCTGTGACATTGCTCGCCACGCCCACCAACGCGCATACCCCAAACATGGAGCATCCGTTATCTAGGCAAATTGTTTTGTGCCAAGTTTTGAGCAGCGAATCCAGAACAACCGGATTAGTCCTCTCCAGGTTCTTATTCGACACCATTCAGCTATCACTACACAGGAATCGCTTTTTTATTTGCTGAAAATTTGGCTGGGTTGTTCAACTAACTATCGACGAAAATATTGCGAAACTAATAGATCAATGGCTCTGCAACTTCTCCCATCTGATCTTTGGCAGCAAAAGCATTAATCTGAACATTTACTAGTTTAGCTTCCGTTTATAGGTTAACCACTCAAAAAACCTTTATTACCTATACGTATAGCCCATCCCAGAACGTTTCATCTACAACAAAAACTTTTCTCAGTGATTTCAAAGATTGTTCTACAGGTTAGAACGAACCTCCAACATGACAGTGATGGCGAGTGCTTGCCAAAGAAGTGATCGATCTCTTTCGGACGAAGCGGCATCCGTAGGACCGCTGCGCTTTTTGATGATTGTAAGAAATATGATACCATACATGATAAGCATCACAACTGGAAGCACAGTTGACGATAGGGTGAAAATCTGAATAGCAGTACTAACTTTCATGGAACGTAATCCATGAAACCACTGATCAACACGTCCTTTTGACATGGCTTCCACAGTTTGGTGGACCGTCTTCATAGTGGTTCACATACCGTGGTCAAAATATTAGTTCCTAGTAAGGTTTCTTGCATGCTGAGATTTTTCCTCGTGTACGTCTTCGTTGCACCAGCGTAGGTATTCCATGCCACAATCATTACTATGTAAGTCCCATGCCAAGATCGAAATAATCATTATACGTGTGCTGAAAAAAAAACGATTCTTGCTTCTACTACGATTCTGTATCCTAAAAAGCAATGACGAACTTGCTGAGTGTTCACTGAAATTTTATTCTTGGCCAATTTTCTTCGATCACATTCTACGCTTATCGTGGGTACGAGCGGGCTGAGATGTACCATCATGCATTCCTCATTGGCGAGCGCTTGGCTAGCAAGAAGAGGCAAGATCTTCACGAAAGGAAAGGGACAACGAAAGTGCGACAGTCTCCTCGACGGAAGACGACAAAGATACGGCGGATTCCGCCCACGCGTTGCTGTGGGAATTTCCTTCATGCAGGGTTCTAAGCCCACGGTGGAGCATGGTGCGCATATGGTGTAGTCGTTTTTGCGAGATCTGAGACAAACTGTACACCCCCTTACGTGGATCCCGGTCCTCGCGTCATGTAGAGAAAGTGGTTCGCAGCTGCATATTGGGCCACTTTCGTCAAAGGTGAACGGGAACGAGGCTGGAGGGTAATGATTCCCGGCGTCTTCATATTCCACCCGCGCTACCGTACAGCAACCAGGTAACCTATCCTAAGGCAGCACAGTTATATCATGGCAGGGATCGGAGATGAAGGGTACAATTTTATCTATTATAGGAACTTTTATATGCCGGGCTGGAGGCGGAGGTGGTGTAGTGACAAGTGGCGCGCTTACCACTCGCGCGGCGCCGGGTTCGAATCCCGGGTCGACACCCGCCCAGGCCAACCAAGCCTTCTACCCTCCGGGGACGGTAAATTGGTACCAGATCTGGGAGGATAAAACACTGACTTGTACATCGGCTGGCCCCCGCAAGTCATTGTATAGGCCACATCGCATTCAATAAGCCACTACGATTCTGAATGGAAGTAGAATGCGTGCCGCATCCCACAAAGGGATTGATCAACGGCGAAGACTTTATCCTTTATCCTTTTATCTCCATGAACGACGGCATCAACAAATCAATCCTAGCTCCGCATCTATTCCTCCTTCTCAACGCTTCTGCCGAATTTCAACGAGATCCCCCGAACACTTATCTCACGCTCCCATCCCCACCCACGACTTCCATAATTGAACTATATGAAGTAGCGTGGGACCGCGCGACCGGCCCTATTAACACCTCTCATCGAATTACCCCTGGTGCACCCTTGCACTCAACCTCAACCTCAAGTTGGAAGAAAATTTGCTAGTGTGGCCCTACCGGCAGCCAAATTATTTAGCGCGTATTTACTACATTAGGCCGAGTCAACTAATGCACAGGGAGAATGCACTCCTCATCTCAGAAATGGGGAGTTCGTGCCCGTGTACTTCACGTTGGGCAGCGGCGATCTAGAGGGACATTTCAGTTCCAAAACAATTGTAACCATGACTTTGGCCATTTTAGGATAGGGCACCACTTATTCCAAATAAAAATATCCCACGAACAACGCATACGGCTACGTGTTAAATGTGAAACCGCAGTCCCGCCCACTCCACCACGGCATGTGTGACTGAGCTTACGTTTCTTTTCGCGCTCACTCTAAGGGCACATACGAACCGAAACGAAATTGCGGGGCGAGGAGAGGGGGGGGGGGCATTTTGCACTTCTGCTACTTCCCATCGACGTGTCGACCCATCTAGACAGCCTCTTCTTGAGTTGACAGGTTTTACCATGATGGCTTGACGAGCTTGCTCCAGCTTCACAAGAGTTCACAGGTTTCACCAGAGTGAGACTTGTAAACCAACTAGTGCTAGTGAAGCAACGAAAGTGCAAAATGTCCCCCCCCCCGTTGCCGAACTGCGCCCAAATTACTATCTCAATGTTTCCGCTTACGGTTACTTCTTTTCTTTTCTTGATTTGGTTACAAAATTTGACTTTTCTCTCACTAGAGAATACCTTGCACGGAGCTGCTTCCCGCCTCTACAACTCTATGGTGGAACTCTAAAGTCTCCTGACTCTATGGTGTAAACAAAAAACACGTACTGAGTGAAGGCGACGAGAAGGTGCGGATAGACGAACACCGCGAAACGATTGATCGTCATCAACAGCGTGAAATAGAGCACAGCTTGTTCGGTAAGTGCGAGAATTCTTGATCCCCAAATGTACCACAACCGCTGCGGACTATCATCTCCGATCTGCAAATCCCAGAGATCTTTCGACGTTCACCACAACAATGTGAAATGATGAGCTTTGATTGCTGGCTAATTAAGTGATTCCTGTTTCATAGCCCTCATTTATAAGTGAACTGCTCGGATCTCCGTAGTAACAGGGTTTCGATCAGGGTGTATCACTGGTGCGACTCTTGAATGAGATAATCAGGCATGTGATGGTGATAATTTGAAGACAGCAACGAACTACTAAACTAAATGGCAACAAGTTTTTTAATTGTTTACTTTTGTCTCTGCAATTTTTGATTGTTTAGAAATAGCAGAGCCTGTTGAAGATCTCGGTTTTCTAACAAGTTAAATGGTTGAGAACATCGGAAGCCAGTCATAGGGGCTACCGAAGCGGAATGATCAAAGATCATGCCGCTTACGACTTAGTCATTTGATGATTTCATTAAACGTGAAAGCTGATATCTGGTAAGACTGAGGTACATTCCACTTCCTCTCTAAAGAGATCAAGCGAGATATAATTACGTTTGAACTAATTGGATGATTCCGAACAACAGCCTTCTTTTTTTAGAAGTGTAATAGATGAATGAAGAGCAAAGTGCTACCGCTTCATTTCCACTCACAACTGAAGGCAAGTGGCACCACGATAAATACCCAAGACCTGTAGGATTAACATGCCTAGCAGGACAGAAGTCGGCGCCCTGGAGCAGGCGCTGCTTGACCCCTTCTTCAAGGAAGGCACCCTTATAGCGCCCTATCAAGCTGCAGCATACCAACTCGGGGTGGCGAAAAATCACTTTGCTTTATTGACTATAAGTTACACTTTTATAAATTCTGATCGGACATTTCTACCACCATAAAGAGCATATTAAATACTATTATGACACTACTCCGCCACAGCCTTCTGGAGGAGCCATTGAGAGATTCTGCCACGCGACCACGACTCGATGCCGAAGATCAGTGAGATAGTTGCGATTTCTCGCCAATTGTAGAACCACCACTCGAAGTCCGCACACAACCGTGGTATGAGAGGGTTTAGGACAGGTGACCCTTTTAGGTATCCATCTTTTCAGATGCTCAAGGCCCTTCTATTCCAAAAAGGCGAGAGTTTTTCCAACGCCCTCTCTCTCACAAAAAGTCGAGGTTTTTCAACGCCCTGTCGAATTCCATGTGGTTTTATGTCCACCATTCTTGTATCAGTCGCAAGAAGTGTGGGGAAGATATTCTTTCTTGAGTTGTCGTTAGCTGTTAATCGCCACGCTCAGCTTTCAGCCCGGGGTCCACGAAGAAAATATTGGTCTTTCCATTCCAGGTGCGTCCGGTCCATACCATCAACCCGCGCCTTGGCGACTGCCGTGAAGATGATGTCCTAGACCGTAGCGACGTTGTCGGAGCTGCTCGATGTTGGAGGTCTTCCAGATTGAGAGTACTGGTCTCCAGGTAGCTACCCATGGGTACTCCACACTAGAAGTTTTCGCAGCTGTTTGGAGGTGACATGAATTCCAAAGGTCTTCTCCAGTCAGGCTGCGACTGGAGATGACCTCATATTTTGGTATACATGAAGGTGAATGGGGCTCGGAACAGCTCCTACTGTATCGGAGACAACATCTTGCGGTGTCTTCCGCCCCTGCCGATACTCGGATCCACGTTCTCTCTGGGCTGTGCGAAAACTTTGCTGAGATGTGACTCGGTCGAAGTGACTTTTTTTTGGCCCCCCCCTGTACATTGGGCCGCATCTACTTTAGCAGTTATTTGGCATGATGTCACGAAGAACTCGTCCGAAATTATTTTCTGAATCTTGTAGAACAAGGGCTTTTTTGTAAGTTTTAAAATGGTTGTCCTGAGCATTTCCTAATTCGATTGCAAGACTTGAGTTCATGCCTGCCACGTTCGATCAGCAGGCTCAGTTATGACTTCCACTCGAAAATCTGAAGCGTGCGAGTGCCTCTATCAACCTGGAAGGTGAAAATGTGGAAAAGGAGAAACTGGAGGGGTCGAGAATGTGAATCCTTCACAACGATTCCATGCTCTCTGTAAACCACTACATACCACTTGCGACTACAGGACCCTTCAGCGGTGCAGGTAGCTTGTGAACGTGTTTTCTTATGATAATTACTGTTCAATTCGCCACAGGTCGTGTCCCAAAAGTTAGCAAAAGAATAGGTTCCGTCCTGCTTGGAGGGGCCATTTCGCGCTTCCCCTAGTTTTTTTTTGCATTAGTTCATGTTGGATAGCGAATCTAAAGTGAGACTTGTAAACTCTAAAAAAAAACTAAAGTGAAGCTGCAAAAGGATACCTGTAATTCACATTAGTGACAGGAATTTGCGTCATCACAAGGTGTTCTGTACAAACTCAGCTAACTAGTAAAAACCATTCTGTGCCCTCAGCGCCCAAGCCGTTACTGAGTTGCCTCCTCTCCCCTCAACTTGATGGCCCTCATGCCATAACCTTATTTATTTCAATGCCAGAATTTGTGGACAAAACTCGCAGAATAACCGACCTGTTGTGGTGATCTATGTAAAGAAAAATGAACCAAGGGTCAGTGTTTGCTTACTCCCCTCCCCCACCACCGAATTGCCAGGGTTAGGAGTGTTCACTGAGCAGAAGTGAATTGTTACGTTTGAAGGAGCAAGCAGTACCAAATAATTGGAACAAGACTACTGAATGAACCCTCTTCAACCAAATACTCTCGTATCAAGTTGGACATTTAGCAATCTCTTGAAAGAACACCGACCTCAATGAGCATAATGGGCAGTATTGTTGAGATGACCATCACCATATGAATTGCATTCGCCACTGTCATATGCCAGAACGAGCACAAAGAACGGAAACTGCAATATCGTTTTTTTCACGGTTTTTTCTTG